CTAAGCAAACGAGTCGAACACGAACATACTTTTTGTGTTCAAAATATAAACGAGCCGAGCACGAACGATGATATTTTTTAATGAGCCGAACACGAGCAGAGTTTGGGCTCGCTCGTCTTCAGCTCGTTTACACCTCTAGTATAGGGCATAAAATTCTATTTTTTAGAGGACTAATTCTCCAAAAAATGGTTTGAATCCAACTCAAGCTCAATTAAGCTCTTGCCAAGTTCATTTGCAAGTTCAGAAGCTTCAGACTTTTTTCAGTTTTTAACATATTGGAAAGCAAATGTGCTGTCTAAATCTGTTTTTCCTTTTCAAGCAAAAAACTCAAAATGGATTGTTTCAAATGTTAACTAGAGCTGAAATAACATCTGATTTTGATTGAGTTGCCATTCATTTTTGTATGAGAACTATTTGACCATAAATTTCTGCAGGCTTTGAAAGCAGCAGGTCAGGTATGGCTCCTAGCCAACAATGACTCTCAGGAAGATATTGTGTATCCCAATGACCCAAAGGTGGTGATCAAAGTCGACGATGACTTGAAGCAGCTCTTCAGGGGAGTTGAGCTCCCTCGGGACATGGTCGACATCGAGAGGGATCTCCTGAAGAACGGAATGAAACCTGCTACAAACACGGCTAAGAGGCGCGCTGAGGCTCAAGTCCATGGCATCCCATCCAAGCCCAAACCCAAGAAGAAGAACGGAATCAGCAAGCGCACCAAACTCACAAATGCTCACCTTCCCGAGCTCTTCCAGAACATAAACGTGCCTGATTCTTGAAAACAAGAAGATTTGAGTTGCTACCTAGTTGGTGACACGCCTAATGTTTATAGTAACAAAACATGGCAGTTTGCAGGCATTCATGACATGTATTTGCAGGTAGACTGCACTAAGAGGATATGCCTTGATGCTTATCATTTGCTGAATTGTCTTAATTTGATTTGCTTGGATTTATTTGTGTGATTTCATGGGTTGTAATCTGGAATGAAACTAAAATTTGAATTATGAAGTTTTGATTTCTCCATTAGGGTTTGATTCAATTTAAGTTTGATCTAAATTGAGATTTGGCCCTTTAATTTGCATATTGACTTTTGTTTCAAACTTAGATTCAAGTTAAAGTTCATTTGGTTTTTAAATGATTTTTCAGCCCAATTTTTATCAGGAATAAGATTTCCTTGATGCTCATAAAGGCTGTTCTCATAACTTAATCCTTAAATTCATCTGCACTTAGATTATCCTTTTTTTTAATTTATTTTAATGGCTTTGACTGGTTTTTGCATGCCAGAAGTCATGCCTTGTTTATTTGACATCCAGAACCTTTTTAGTCATGTTGTATTTAGTATTATAAACATTTAACTAGTAAGTAATTCGAATGATGATTGCATCATTATTTCCTTATATTTGGAGAATTAAGGTGGTATTTGGCTGCACGTTAGATTTATATCAGGTTCAGTAAATTTGAGTTTATCAAATTGAGTCGGTGACGAGAAAAGATGACAA